TCTCTCTCTCTCTCTCTCTCTCTCTCTCTCTCTCTCTCTCTCTCTCTCTCTCTCTCTCTCTCTCTCTCTGTGGTTGTGTGCTTATGTGTGTCTGTTTGTGGTGAGTCTGGCATGTAGATAGGGTATCTTGAACATGGAAAGCTGTCATTTTCCATCTGATGTGGCGATACTGCAGGAAATCCACATGTGCTGCAAAGTTTCAAACTGATAGCCTATCATACAGCTGAGCCCATGACACCTGCATTCGTTCAAAGTTCGCCACGTCGTGATACTGTCGATAACGTACCTGGGATGATATGCCTTCAACCTGTATTGGCATGAACCTCCATTCCGGTAGAGGCTGACTGTGTTAATTGAAAAGCCAATGAGGTCTTAGTACCCCTCTTTGGCTCCTAGACACTGGTGATGCCAGTGCAGAGAGTTTCCTACCAAAATCTGCTCAATCCCCTGGCCGTCTGCTGTACCCTATTATGAAGGTGTGTAGCGCATACCACCCAATGCCTGCAATAAAGCATTTTCAAGGCTTCCAGACTATTGTGCTATCAGCTCATTGGTCAGACCAGTCCTCCAGTTACAGAGTCTCTGTTGGGCCTGCATGATAATTCTGCATTTTGAAACGGTATTCACCAGTTCGCAGTAGCGAATGCAGATCCCAGGGCTCGATCCCTAGTTCCCCGTCTTACCTGTGTACAGTACAAGTGTCAACCCGTAGATTTGAACCTGCAACCTGTAGGACCGCCAGTGGTAGGTAGGTTTTCGTAGTTCACAGGGTAGAAGGGAATCGAACTGTAGACCTGTAGGCTAGAAGTCTAGACAGTTCCAAAGTCGTAGTTGTAGGATGTCTGAAGGGTCAAAGTCGTAGCTGCTACTTACCTGAAGGGGCAAAGTCGTAGCTGCTACAGTACCGAAAGGCCAAGTTAGAGGTTTCTAGAAGTGGCCTTTCGGAGTGAGCCTGCGTTGAACAGAGGCAAGTGGTCAAGAGGTGGTATGCCACCTCGCTGAGTCAACAGTCCTTGTTAGGCAGTCCGGTCCTGTCAAGCCAGTACCATCTGGGACTGTGTGCACCAGGGGCCAAGGGACACAGGGCAGACCAACGCAGAACAGAAGTATAAATCAAGAGGCTGCGTCCAGCCATTATTCATTCCTGCGGAAGCTATGCGGAAGCCCTGCCTCAACAGCTTGTGCGAGGAGGTCTGCAGAAGGCCCGAAGACGAAGAGGGCTAGAGTGACATACTGGAGTCATAGCAGTAGGGTAGCAGCGGCCATTGCCGCCATAGTTGTAGCCTAGGGGAGGAGTGTGTGTACTGTGTGTGTGTACTGTGTGTGTGTAATGGGTAACGCGTGTGGGACATCCAGGGTGATCCGGAGTGTGAAGAGTGACTGTTTGAGGCGCGCAGTCGCCATAGCCAGTGAAAGCGAACTTACCTGGAAGACATATTCCTGTGTACAGTGTGGGCGCAAGTTGCCAGTTGTGTGTTGTTGTTCACGTGCATGAAAAGTGTGAATAAGTCGAGTCTGATTGCACTGGTATCGGAGCTGGTACCCGCTGTTTCGCGCGCGCCGTCGTGTGCAGGGCCGATGCGCCATAGCTGAAGTGGTCGCTGGAGAAGGTAGTCCGCCATAGCGGACCTCGAGGTGGAAGAAGCCGCTGCGCACCTGCATCAAGAAGACCACGACGAAGAAGAAGATAGATAGATAGATAGATAGATAGATAGAGAGAGA